GAGAATATTGAATGAAAGTCTAAAGTGGCTATTGCGACTATGCAGTTTGCAGACACCTGTGAGAGTACAACTTTTAGCGTTAAGCTAGCACTAAGGTTCTTTCTGTAACGTTGCTAGTACTAGCCTGGTGGCTAGGAACAGTAAGACTCGCTACATTTAGCCGTCCTCGATTAGACAGTGAATACATTTCGTCATCAGTGGTACGATATTGGGTGGGGTTTATGGTATTATCTTGGGTGCTGCACGAGCTTGCCATAAGATGACATTTTCCAGACAGATATATATAAAAAAGCACTTCTATCTCTTAACTCCTACTTTCAGGCTTGAATGAATACTGCCCAGGGTCAGAACAGTGCTTTGTGATACTGAAGCCAGTCAAATTCATCTGTCCAGATCTACAGATACAATACTAGATCACATAGTTTTATACAGGAGAACAATTGGAGAACATAACCTTTTAAACGTGGAATCCAGATTAGACCGAGAAAGTGTGAAACTGATCAAATCTGTCATTTGTAACTTGAGGAGGTAGCACAGGAGGGAGTGCACTTGTTTGCTGACTAAGGCATTTCATGTGCATTACAGAAAACACCTAATTTCATCCTTGAAGGAGAAGTCAGGTATTGTTGTAGGTTTGTTTGCCATGTCTATACATTGGCATCTTGGTATAGATAACCATACTCACCGCTGTCAATGCAGAGATTTGGACTTTCTATTTGACTTGTTTATATGTACATGAGTCCTAAGCTGTTTGTATCTTTATAACTAAACTAAATTATAGCCCAGGTGCCAGATGTTCCAAATAGCTTAAGCATAATTTCTCCCCAGTGATGCTTAAACATCAGGAACACAAATTAACAGACCATGTTACGCAACTAGCAAGTAATTTAAATTGCGCTTACATGTAGATACATAGCTCACTGCTGGGCGAACACCCTGAGGTTGGAGATAGAGACAGAGACAGAGACAGAGACAGAGACATGCTATGATAGCTACGTTCTCAACTACTTACACTGGCAATATACAACTCCTGACCTCGGACATGACTTACCACAGGCAGAAGGGAGTAGTGGATGCAGAATCCTGGCTCGGAGGGAAAGTATTCATCAGAGACGAAACGAACCCTGACTTGACTGCCTTTGGAAGTGTGACTAGTGGGTACTGACTCTGACCCACACCAGCGACCCAGGATGGTCTTCTCAGTCAGATCCTCTATCTCCACAAAGTCATACCTGGCAGAGTGAGACAGAGAAAATGCAGAGAAAAATGATTTGGTTTCTAAGCATTCGCCTGTTAATGGGCCCACTCTGAGACTGTATTCCATTATGTAAAATTATCTTAGCTCATGTTATACCACAGCGTCCAGCTACCAGAAGCTTTGTTTGAGTGTTCATATGCATGTTAGTTGATTTTAATTATGTCTTTGCTTGTTATAAGTCTGACAGTGGCTTTAATGGTCACCATGGTGCTGTATTTTCCCTTCTGAAGGTAAGATTGGTAATATCAATAAAGCTGCTCAGGGAAATAAAAACTGAACCTCATTAAAAAAAAAGAAAAAGAAAAAGAAAATAAATACCTTCAACAGCAGGTTGCAGTTTCTCAGCAGTGAGAGATGAGATGTGTCTCATTTATTTACTGCCTGAATTAAATGAGTAAAAATAAACTGAAGTTGGCCAATGTACTGACAAATCTCAGGTTGACAGTGCAGCATAAGCTGCTATTCCTG